GAGAGAGAGAGAGAGAGAGAGAGAGAGAGAGAGACCGGTACAATTCCAACAAGATCTACAGGACAAATAAAACTGAACTCACCAATAACGAGCGAGGGCACACAACTTTGTCAACTTCCACGAGAAGACTGTCAAAACTTTCCAAAACGACAGACCGGCATCGAGATCTGGCCAATAAACAAGTTTGACAACTTCTTCAAAACTCGAATAAATTCCAATTTCAAGTCACAAAACACAACCAAGCAAAAAAGTCTCGATCTCGCCTCTTCGGTAGGCTAGATCATGAATGTCGAGAACGAACCACCGAAGGCGAAAACTTGTTCCCTCTGTTCAGATTAGAAGTAAGCGAGGTGGCCTCGCTGCAACACGGCTCGCCACGGTTGACTCGAGAAGGCTGTGCTGACGATATCGCTGTGCTAGCAGACAGAAGAGCCGCGAGTGTGATGTCAGCTGTGTGGGACCCTCTCGTCCCGGCCTCCGCCAAACTTTGTCTCCTCGCCCGGTGTCGGGGGAAATTTTTACCCAGAATAATTAATGAAGGCAAGTTTCTATAGTTTTTGACCTGATTGTTATGTGTAAGCAGTTGTTGGGGTTGTTTGGTTGTTTTTCGAGATATATACACATATATATCTTATAAAATATGATGTCTTCAGTCTTACAGTATGCAGTTATACAGTTATTATCCCCATGTCTGATTATTTTCCACCAATCACCCAAACAGAAAAATTTCGCTTACATGTAGCCTACTTGCAGAAGTACCGTAGTTCATGTGATGTTCTAAAAGCTTGTTTAGAATATTCTTAAGTCCTTCATAGCATAATTCATTAGAGAAAAAGAGAGTGGCTTTCTACATTCATCCGATCTTTTGTTGTTGTTGTTGTTGTTGTTGAAAAATAGTGTTTTAGAAACTTAGAACGCATAAAGGCCGGGAATTATATTCCCCATATATACTTTTTCCTCTATCACAATGTAAACACAAGCTGGGCTTAGGTCACGCCCCCAAAATATTCTCACGGTCTGAAAATAAACCGTGCAGACGACACAGAGAGAGCCTGTGTTGTTGGAAATAGTGTCAAAGCCAACCGCTCGCGCTCTCCCTCGTCGTCCTGCCCAACTGAGGAGCTAGATCTGGGCCTACGTGGTGCGGGAGGGTGCATCGTTTGAAATCGTTGCACGTTGAAGGCGAAATATTATGTATGACCTCGGAAATTAAGGATAACGGGTGTAAACAAACACCAGGCTATAAACGTATATCATTATATAGCCAATATATAATAATTATGATAATTATTATTATTAAACATACATCACGACTTTGAAGTCAAAAACTGGGCGCCGTCACCGTTCTCGATTTTATTCGCGTTCATTTGTGTGGGGACAAAATTTTTCTTTTTTTAAGTACCTAGTATGCTGCCAGTTACAGCAATGGAAAATTTTCGTGGTTTTTTTTTCCTTTAGCGAGTTATAGATTCTGTGTAAATGCACAACGTTACCAAGCTGTGAAACTGGCCGTAAGGTCGTGGGTTTGAATCCTGTTCTGAGCCAGACATTGTGTCCTTGGGGAAAAAATTAATCATACTTTATACCCCCTCACTTCCCTTTAATGAATGGGAAAAGTTTAATGCTCGGGCAACTGCAAACAGACAGCTGGAACTGATTCTTCCCATGAGGCTGAGAATGTTTCGGGATGTTTTAAAGTTTGCCGTGTAGATCTAGTAATAATGCGTAAGTTGTGTTAAGTCTGAAGTTCGTAATGACTGTGAATATTTTACTATTGTTACCCACTCCACTAGCGTTTTCTACTTAGATTTAGTTAAGAAGTAGACTCGATCCAGTCCATAGTCGCTCTTTGTTTCTTTCAGTGAATATGTAGGTGGAAATTGAAAGAAGAAATCTATGAAAAATAAGGCAGGTTTATTCATTAAACCATGTCACACGTTCAATATTTTAAATTCTTTTTAATAAAAACTCACGAACTAAATACAAAATGACACGAAGCATTATGCCAAAGGCCATACCAAAAGCAGTGCCGTGATTGAGAGAAAACACCTCTAATATATAGAGGAGGCAACTCCGTCATTTTTTAAATGTGTGTCTAGTAATACGAACAGTTGTCGCCCTTCCATAGCGTCTGAGCGCATCTAATCTGAGACTGAGCGTCAGGTTGTGACTGAACAGCGCCTTTTCTGAAGTTGCGACGAGATTCTCCATTATTTCTTGTTTTTGTTCTCGTACTGTAAGACTATGAGGAATTGAAGTCTTTGATACTACTATACAAAACAAAACATAGACGAGTTTTCGAGTATTATGTATATCGTGCGTGATGACGTCAACATGGCTTTTTACAATTATTCATCTGGGCCTGTATGCACGTCAGAAACGGTTAGCTTAAACGTGTTTAGAGATTCAACGCGGTTTGCTATACGGCCCTAACCGCGTATAAACCCGAACTGGATTTTGTATGCACATTGCGCTAATCGGAAATGTGTAGATGAATGCAAAGTGCAAGGTGATAACTGGACAAACCCGCTCCGCTGTCACAGTGTGCTTTCAGACATTCGGTATCCAACTACACATTGGAGTTTCTGAACTGTGCAGCATGGCGGAGAAAGTCGCAAAAAGGGTCAGAAAAGCGAACTTCAGTGCTGAAGAAATTCAAATGCTACTTGAAGAGCTGCAAAGTAGAAAATGTGACTCTTTTCAGCGGACACAGCGCCACCATAACAAGTAAGATGGAGAAGGAGATATGCCAGAGGATAACATCGAAGATGAAAGCATCGGCGTGGCAGTGTGAACTGTAACTTTACGGGATTTGAATGAGAAATGGAGAACACTGAAAACGTCGGTTTTCAGCAAAAAGAGAGACGAGGCGAAAACGCGAGGAGTGCCAGCACCAGCACCAGCGCCCTACGAAGAAGTGATATTGTCAATCATAGGGGACAAATCAAATTTGTTATCTAGAGTGACGGGTGAGATACCGTTTTTTTATTATTATCATTTCACACCCCAATATAATTACACTGCTCTAAATCATGCAAATATGCACTACATTGCTCCATTCTGTGAACGCTCACATTTTAAAAACACTTGTCTTGTTATTATAGACTAGCCAGAGCCAGAGCCGGCAAGGAATAGTTTTTAGAATAAATGCGGGTTTGTTCTTTTTAACGAAGAGTTTCTTCATTCGTAAGGAAAAGCCTTGATTTGATTTATTCATGTCTTCCTTTTCTTCACTTTATTCCAAAGAGTGTTATTGAATTACTCTTTGCAGGGGAAGATGACACACAACACTGCTGGATTCGACGATTTCGGAGAACCAAGTAAGAAATCTGAACCTGCGAAACACTTCTCTGTCGTCGTAGGTGTCGTACGGTCCCTGAAAATGCTGTTTCTTCGTAGAAGGCACGGCTGTTGTGCTTGGAAAAAACAAAAGTGCAACCACATTTACACGCTTTTAGGCCCGCTATCGGACCCCCAGAGGTGCGATAACTTTAAACGCGAAAATCCGTATAGGATAAGCAAACGAGATTGACGTACATACAGATTTCTCCAGCCTAAATGCCCGTTTAGGGGTAAACGCGGTTAGTCCACTATACGGACCGACGTGCAGACAGGCCCTGGTTGACACTAAAAGTTCGGTATTTTGTCATTTATTTATCTAATACGGTTTGTTCTTTCGATTCGTTTTTGGAAACCACTGGACCTTTTGGGCTTGTTTCCCTGCTTATGCACCTGCCTGTTCTTACAAGATCCCAGTATATGTATTCTATTAGAGCTAGCTGCAGTCCTACGATCAGTTCTCAGGCTACTCTTTGGACAGCCACTAGTTTCTTTAGTCCCACTCAACAAAAAAAAACAACCCCAACATGTTTCTTTCTGACAATGAACTCTGTGAAACGCTTGGATTTTGGTAAACTCAGTTGATTTTATTTTGGATTATTCTTTTGTTCAAGTAAACCATATTACCAAGCTGGCTGTGCTCTTCATTTCAGAATTTTAAAAAAACCTCAAAACCGGCCGAAAATGACTTAGGCAATTATCTTATGAGCTCGACGACATGTACAGGAGTTGGCAGACTGACTTTGATAACAAAAAAAAAAACACTATAAGAATCCAGTATAAGTCCAAGCTAACCATTAAAATGAATTCCACTATAGAGTACGACCTTTGGAATACACAGGTCTTGTCGCTCCGAAACAACGACTAAAAGACTCCACCTCGTAACAAAAGGGAATTCCCGAAAGAAAGAAGACCAAGAGTGGGATACTATAAACTTTCGGAGAAAAAAAATGGCGACAATAACGTTAACATATATAGGGGAAAGAACAACTACATGTGGTAACAAAATAACGTTGATTACATCCCCTTTATCTTTCCACTGCACTAATTTTTTTTTTCAAGTTTTGGACATGACCAATTAAACGGCGGACCTGGGTTTATTAAAGAATATACTCGTACAATCAGGTTAACCACAAAGGTCAATACTCCACGAAACACACAACCACCTTAATCACAAATGGTATGTGTGTGCATGTGTGTGTGTATGTGTGTGTGTGTGTGTGTGTGTGTGTGTGTGTGTGTGTGTGTGTGTGTGTTTGTGTGGGGAAAAAGAGGATTGGAGAGGGAAGGGTGGTATACAATATAATAGTTCAGCAAAAAAATCCTCCGAGATTTGTTCGACAGAAAAAGCGCAAGGGGATTTAATAAAGTCTTTTGGAAACATAAACTTCCCTTTTTGTGGTTATCTCCCTCGTTCTCTTTTCGTAATTATTTATAATAGTATGGCGAGTGTTTATGCTATTTTAACCATGGTCTTAGTCAGTCTGAGCTGATGTTTTCCAAGATTTTCTGTTTGAAATCAATTCATTTACACAAACTACACTGGGAATCAGGTGAATTAAATGCGCGCGCAACCACACATATTATACGTGTGTGTGTGTGTGTGTGTGTGTGT